AAAGCACCGAACGTAATGATAAAAGCACCGAACGTAATGTTTCAAAGCACCGAATGTAATGTTAATAAAAGCACCGAACGTAATGTAAAAAGCACCGAACGTCATGTAAAAAGCACCGAACGTCATGTAAAAGCAACGAACGTAATGTTCAAAGCTCCGAACGTAATGTAAAAAGTACCGAACGTAATTTAAAAAGCACCGAACGTAATGTAAAAAGCACCGAACGTAATGTAAAAAGCACCGAACGTAATGTTAAAAGGGCCGAATAACAAATGCGCCGAACGGAAAAGAGGCACCAAAGGCAGTAACGGCGTTCCATAGCGTTGGATATGCTAATGTTTTCGGCGCCTACGATATTTCTTCTCACGACCTATCGCAAAATCAACATGAAAAATTCATCCGCATTTATTTTTTGTGTGGAACACAAAAAAATCAAATTTCAGTCTTATTTTATATTTTTTTCATTCTTAGGATTGTCTAAATTCAGTTAGCAATTGCAATTCAACTAGCAATTCCGTATTATGTTTATAAATCTTTATAACATTATACAAAAATTAGATTTTTCTTAAAAATTGAAATTTTGCCGGGAATGGGGCTTTAACATTGTTCTGTGTATATCATTTGAATTCCTTCAATTTAAAAACGAATGACTGCTGATTTTCGTGTAATTTTTGTAGTATTTCAAATGAATATGTACCCACTGTTGTCTTCTAATCGGATTAAAATCTGGCCGAATTTTGGCCCATATCGAAAAAAAGTTTGGCCGAATTTGGCCGTGAGATGGCGTGTGTTTGGCCGCGAAGCCTGTCGACTATCTGGCAACCCTGGGAAGAATATAGGTTACTTAACAATGGCGGCTACAGCAACTGAGGTGATTGTGATTGGAGCCGGGATCAGTGGTAAATATTATATTTTGCTATTTGGGCCTTGAAATGTTTTTTTGCGGTTTTGATGCGGGTGTCCCGAAAGCTCAGACCATGAAAGCTAAGTCCTAAGACCACAAGATATCAGACCCACTCGAAATATCAGACCCCGCAAATTAAGACCCTCAACTAAGTATGCCAGGATTTCCATACAAAATACCAAAAAAGCTAACATCAATATATAGCCGGCGGCTGTCTCTTATACACATCTAGATGTGTATAAGAGACAGCTGTAAAAGATGAATGGGAATATGAATCATGCAGATCGGGAATCAAACCTAGGTGGTGGGGGTCAACATTCCTCCCCCGGGGAAAAATTAGATTTCAAGATGGCTGGAAATGACCTTTCTCGACTTTTGAGCTAGGTGTCTAATGACTTTGTTCTTCAAAATTCAAGGTTTTCCCCTCTTGAAAAGGTAAGGTAAACTTTCTTATTACAGTAAATAGGCCTGTTATGTGTGTATACCTTAAGAAAATGAGTAGTTGCATATCGTATTCTTCTTTCAGTGAATCGATAAGCTCCAAAGAAAAGGGGGGTCCATCCTAGATGGCGGAAAATGAGCTTTTCCCCGACTCCTGCAGTGTCTTAATTACTTTTAAGTTTTTCAAAATTCAAGGTTTTCCCCTCTTGAAAACGGTCAGGTAATTTGTTCCCATTGTTATTACAGTAAAGGCCTTATGTGTCTATACACACCTAACATTTTAAAAAAATGAGTAGTTGCATACGAATTTTTCAGGAATCGATGAATTTGAGCAAGTTGCATACATATTTTTTCGAATCGACGAATCACAAAAAGAAAAGGGGATCGGAGGACCTCCCCCGGGAAAATTTTGAATCCTAGAAGGCGGGAAATGAGCTTTCCCGACTTCTGGGGTGTCTTTTAATTACTTTTAAGTTCTTCAAAATTCAAGGTTTTTCCCTCTTGAAAATGGTCAGGTAATTTTTACCATTGTTATTCAGTAAATAGGCCTTAAGTGTATACATACATAAAAATAAAAAAAAAAATGAGTAGTGCATACAAATTTTCCATGAATCGATGGATCCCAAAAAAGGAGGAGGGTCCTCCCCCGGGAAAATTTTGATTCCTAGAAGGAGGGAAATGAGTTTTCCCGACTTCAGAGGTGTCTTTTAATTACTTTAAATTCTTCAAAATTCAAGGTCCTCTTGAAAATTATTATAATGAATCAGTGAACCCAAAGAGAAAAGTGAGGTTCAGGTTCTTCTCGGGAAAATGTTTATTTCTAAATGGTTGGAAATGAGCTTTCCCGACTTCTGAAGTATCTTTTAGTGACTTTAAAAGTTCTTCAAAATTCAAGGTTTTCCCCTCTTCAAAACGGTCAGGTAAATTTTTTCCATTGTTATTACAGTAGATAGGCCTTATGTGTGTATTCTTAGGCCTACACAAAAAATTGAGTAGTTGCATACGATTTTTTTCCGATAAATCGATCGATAAATCCCAAAAAGAAAGGGGGGTCCGGAAGTTCTCCCCCAGGAAAATTTTGATTCCTAGAAGGCAGGAAATGAGCTTTCCCGACTTCTGAGGTGTCTTTTAATTTCTTCAAAATTTAAGGTTTTCCCCTCTTGAAAATTATTATAATGAATCAATGAACCCAAAGAAAGGGAGGTTGGAGTTCTTCCTGGGAAAATGGTTATTTCTAAGTGGTGGGCAATGATCTTTCCCGACTTTAATTTAAGTTCTTTAAAATTAAAGTTAATAATTTTTTTCCCATTGTTGTTACAGTAAATAGGCCTTATGTGTGTATACAAACATAAAAAAGGTTTGAGCAAGTTGCATACATATTTTTTTTCCCATGAATATCACAAAAAGAAAAGGGGATCGGAGGACCTCCCCCGGGAAAATTTTGAATCCTAGAAGGCGGGAAATGAGCTTTCCCGACTTCTGGGGTGTCTTTTAATCATACAAAAATCTCCAGACATTATATACTTTTTGCCAAAAAGTCGGGGGGGCCCCGAGCCCCCGGCCCCGGCCCCCCGGTTCCCCGGCCATGTATAGAACTGACTAATCATGAAATAAACACCAGTAAGTATTATCGATACCAGCCATGGAGTTATAATTATTTTGATAATAATAACTCCATGTACCAGCTAGGTCCCTATTTGCAACGTTTACTGAAGTGAAGAAAACAAATACAGCACAAACAAACCGTTGTTAGTGTCGGCTGAGGCTATCGACACTGCCGCAGTGCGAAAAAAAGCTGCTGTTTTCTATCGGCACTGCCGCAGTGCCAAAAAGCTGCTGTTTTCTATCGGCAGTGCCAAAAAGCTGCTGTTTTCTATCGGCACTGCCACATTGCGAAAAAAGCTGTTATTTTCTATCGGCATTATTGCCGCAGTGCGAAAAAAGCTCTGATTTTCTATCAGCACTGCCGCAGTGCCAAAACACTGCAGTTTTCTATCGGCACTGCCACTCGAAAAGCTGCTGTTTAATTATCAAATGGATGTTTATATCTATAGACTATGGTATGTATCAATAATTGGTTAGGTCTAGCCTAGCCTATAATATTGTTAAAATTATATTATATATGTTTTACAATTAAATTATAATAATTTCTAATTATTAAATATCTACATAGCCTATATCTAGGCCCATACATAAAACAAAAAATAAAACAGCAAAAATTTAAAATAAAATAGTAGTAATAATAATAATAATAATAATATAATAATAACAGTGCTCGAAATGAATAAAAATTGTATACTTAATGAGATGAATCAGCATATATTAAATCAACTTGCGTCTATGCAAAACCTGTTTTTTTTTTTAATTAAAGGTGTTATATATTTTATTCTGCTGTTTTAAAAAAGTAATTTTATAAAATATATGTTTATTTTCTATGATAATTTTATCCACATAATTCATATTTTCAATGTTAGTATGGCTGATAAATAATACATAAAATAATAATAATAATAATAATAATAATAATAATAATGAAGGTGCTCGAATAATGCTTTAATAAAGAATTAATAATACTTTAATAATACTTCAATAGGCCTATTTTCGATAGTGTGATTAATGAGATATTTGTTGATTAATTTATAGAAATATATAATAGTTATAGGCCTATACCATTAATAATGATTCAGCATATTAAATCAACTTACGTCTATAGATGTAAAATCTGGTTCTTTTTTTTCAATAAAATGTTACCTATTTTATTCTGTTTAAAAAAATAATCTTATAAAATACCGTACATTATAAAGTTTCATTGTAAATTATACGAGAATTTAATTTTTTAAAAATTATTTAAGCATTTAAACAATTCAGTGGGCCTAACGCTGGATGTAAATGTAAAACAAAACAAAAACAAAAAACAAAAGCATTGCCAAAGTGTTTTCATGTATGCAAATTCTAATGCTATCTCACGATAGAGCTCAGGATGGTTCACACGAGGTGACGAATATCTGTCGAAATGCCGTATAAATAAACTGCAATTATGTAAATAACTTTCACAAGAACTTTACGAATATCTTAATATAATCTTAATTAATATTTTCAATTAGTTAATAACTAATTAATTAATAGATTGATATATACATTGTGACCTTATAACAACAATTTATTTAATATGTTTTAAATAATAAATACAAGAATCCTGCAACAAATTTTTCAGGTCAGAAATTGGCATCAAAAAGTAATAATTTTTCAATCGTGATATTCGTATTTGTCGGTTCATGGAAATAGCGACGATAAACATATAATAATTAGTTTATAGATTTTATTATAGTTATAATAATAATTATATATATATAATTATCATTATATTTTTATTATACATACATGCATGCATACATACATACATACATACATAATTTAAAGAAAAGGGGAGAGTGAGGGAAAGAGAAAGAAGAGGAAGAGCAAAGGAAAGGAAAAAGAAAAAGAGGAGAGAAAAATAAAGACAAGAATAAAAAGAAAGGTATGATAATGACCAGACTCCAACACGCTGCAACCTCTTCTTCACTTAACTCCTTTGATCTAAGCTGCCAGATGGCGTAGGCTAACCACCGGGGAACAAGGGGAAAATATCTATCTTTGGAAAATCTTTCCCACCCCCTTATAAATGCCCTTTTCATCTCCTGAAAGTGCCAAAAAATCTCAAATTTCGTGGGCTTTGCGCGCATTTCTTGTCAGAGTAGGCCAATTTCCTCTAAAAATTGCACATTTTAGGGATTTTGGGTCAATTCCGATGAAATTAGAATTAAAAACAAATTACTAACCGGGAAAATTATTACCTTTGCTACCCCCCCCCCC